CTATTGATTTGTTTGTTTGGCTAGCTTGCTGTACGTTTATGGAAAATTAGTCATAACAGATTCATGAACAGCAAAGAGTATTTCCATCAGTTTTCCTAATTAGACACTTTTTTCCCCGTGGTTGCTGGTTTGACACAGAAATGTAAGAGCTTTTGCACCCTTCTTTTCATGATATTCTCTTGGTAAGTTTATCAACCCCTAGTAATGGAAATAAGACTTCCCTTGGGTTTTCTAAAAATAAACTGCTATCCTGTAAGACATATTCAGCCCATGGAGTTCCAGGGAAATAGAATATGTATAAGAATATAAGTAAGCCGTGCCCTGGCCCATCTAGTCCAGCAGTCTGTTCTCACAGTGGCCAACCGACTGCACAAGGAAGCCCACCAATCTCCCAGCAGATGGCCTTCATAGGTAGTCACGCTGCCATCAAGGCTAACAGCCATTGATCCTCATGATTTCCTTGAATTGATCCAACCCTTTTTTGAAGCCAGCCTACCTGGTAGCCAGCACCACATCTCATGTATGTCTGTGACGATCACAAATGCCAGAAAAATATCCTGAGACTGTATTCAGACATCAGGCTCCCTTAATATCTGTTTGTTATACCAAAAGGGGGATAGGCATATACATTACATTTACATGTGATGCAACAGTCAATTATTTGGTCTGTTATGTCCTTCCTACTTCAAGCCACAGACTACATACAGATCAATACCACCTTCCAGGTTTTATTGTTATCACCTGGGACTTCCAAAGCCCTCCACTTGGAATCTCTTTAAATGTCTTCTTCATTCTATAATATTTGATAAGATTCTAAATATGGTTGACTTTTAATTTTAGGGGTGATTATGTGAATGCTTTGGCACATTATGAAAAAGGAATTACAGGCAACAATAAGGTAATAAATACACTCTTGGTGATGGTTTTAGAGTGGGTGTTCACATATCTAATTATATTAACTTTATGGTTTAAAATCTTAAATAATTTAAAAATTTATTGTGCCTTGGAAATATTAGAAAAGCTTTTGGTCAGTTGAATATCATTGTGAATATTAAAGGAAACCATGCCAGATATTTACAAATGTATAAAATCTTATTTATTCCTGATTTTTTTACTTAAACACCATAGCACCATTTGGCGCAGAAGACTAGTTTTTTCTTGCTTATGTAGATTCAACTGTACTTTGTATAACTATTTTTACAAAGGGTGATTTTTAGGATAGTTGATTTGTTGAGAACTCTTGGCATGAGAAACAAAACGTTTTTCCTTTAGTAGGTTTATTTCAGAATTGATATTGTTTATATGCAGTTTGAACAAATATACTTGAACAAATACATACTTTATAGGTGAAATATAGTGTACAATTCTTAACAGAATAAGTGCTGATTTTTCATATTTCCAAAGTAGTAACTGCTGAATATGGCTCTATATTTTATAGGACTTTTTTATTGTGCTTTTTGCTTTGTTGCCATTTAATGTGTTACTTTTGATTGTCAGTTCCAAGAACATGATGAGGCATGCCTAGCCGGAGTGGCACAGATGTCCATTCGCATGGGGGACATTCGGCGTGGTATTAACCAGGCCATCAAGCATCCCAGCAGAATATTAAAGAAAGATTGTGGAGCTATTCTGGAGAGCATGAAGGTAGCTAATACATGGTAATATATAAAGAAAATATTCGCAAAGCGAATTGCTCTAAGCTGAACACCTGTACCATTTTTTATCTCAGCAATTTTCAGAAGCTGCCCAGCTTTATGAAAAAGGACAATATTTTGACAAAGCAGCATCAGTATACATACGTTGCAAAAACTGGTAAGTGTAACTATATAATTGCAGATGGCAAATTAAGTAGTGAAGGTTTGCTGACTCTCAGGACTATTAAACTGGCATATCCTCTCCATTGTTATTTGCCTTTCAGACCACTAAATACTTTATAATATACTAATTCTCTTGTGTCATGTAATGCAATTACAGAGATTTTACAGGCTCAGAAGTTGAATAAGTGGTATTGGAGCACTTTATTTCATTTTTTTCCCATTTATTTTTATCCTAGAAGCTCTGGAGAAGTTCCAGATATAAAACTGGAGTAACTTCTGTCACTAAGTCCTGGCCCAAATAAGAAAGTCTTTTCATGCTTCTGAAAAATGCTAATAGAAGAAATTTCATAAATCTTCAGAGGAGGGAGAATTCCAAAATTTGATAAAAGAGCTGGACAAATAAGGATTTAGCCATGTTTCATGACTGGGGCTTTATTGTTCATATTTATTTATCCATTTATCAGTTGCTCAATACCTTTTGTTACCTGGGTGATGCAAAATAAAATAAATAAATGTCTCTATAGCAAAAATGACTTTAAAAATAGGTGTTTTGAATCCAAGAACTCTAAAACTCATGATAAATACCTGTTGACGTAAGGCAAGCATGTTCCATGGCATTATTGCATCAAGACACACAATGATGCCAAATATTTTGTACAATTTTAAAATCCCATTGAAATAAAAAGTTCTTGGAGTAACGCCTGGTACATTAAAGTGGGTGCCAGTTGAGTCTTTCTCTGGGGTAGGGCATTTGGTGACAGATGCCATCGCTCAGCTTTTGCTGAGACTTTGAGGAAAGTTGTTGACCTCAGGACTTGGGAGGATCTTTCAGATACTGCAGTTTCAAGCACTTCATTATTGCCCCAAGTTCTTAGGATGCTGTTGGTTCTAAGCATTATTATAAAATGTCATTATCAGACACCTTGAGGTTTGCAACTTTTCTTCTTCTCTCTGTCCTCTTCATGAGGTTTTCCTTAAAACGCTACCTCTTGTACAACAAGTAAGATGGGATATAGGTAAACAAAGTGATTAATGGCCTAGCTTTCAGCAGAAGCTAATTCTTCAGTGTATTTTTCAAATGCATAGGTAAACTTGACCTCCTGCCTTCTCATAGAGTCTAGGAGTATCTAAATTCAGCACCTATACAAATCTAAGTTTCCAGACCTACATAAATTAGGCAAATTGAAAACAGTAACATAATTTCTCTTGATTTGCTTTGTTGGTTTTGCTTACCACTTTCCAGCTGTTTTAAATCATTTAATACAGTTTGAAAAACGATGGAGGGCAAAGGTAATAATTCCATCTGTATTCAGCCAACTCTCTGGCTTTCAAGATGTAAGCAGGTGTTGCCAGACACTTCTAGTGCTAAATGCCGTAAAGCTCTTTAGACAAGGAAATAGTCATGAAATGTTCAGGAAGCAAAATTTTCCTTCTGTTTTTATTTAATCATAGCATACAGAGGATTTGACTCCAACCCAGAGTAGCCTGATCCATGAAAAAAGGGGCTGGGATCCAGGGGTGCTGTTTTTGATGGAAGTGGAAGGGACGGATAACTGGTCTGTTCCTGCTTCCCCTTGAAGGCTCCTGCCCCTCTTCCTCCTCTTCTTTTGAGGAAGTAAGGATTGCAAGGGGAAGCAATAAAGCAACAAATTGCTTTTCTCCTCTTCCATGAATGGAGGAAAAAGTCTGCTCATAGGATCTCTGGGACCTGGGCCTTATTGAATAAGATGTCCAATTCCCTTCAAGCTCATCTTTAAAGTTTTGGGACTTGTAGGCGAATTATCTTCATCCTTGATATGATGGAGTGAGTATAGCAGAAATAAACTGAGAAATGTACTTGTTTAATTACAATTATAAATTATAATTTATTCCTATTGTTTAGGGCAAAAGTTGGTGAGCTTCTTCCTCATGTGTCTTCTCCAAAAATACATCTTCAGTATGCCAAAGCAAAGGAAGCAGATGGCAGGTATACCGTCCTAGAGTTACATTCAAGCATGTGTTTTATACCTGCGGTCATAAGGCTAGCTATGCTCAGCAGGATTTATATGTGTGAGCAATGACACCCACAGGCTTTTGCTGTTTTTAGCAGAATCTTGAGAGCAGCATCGTGGCACAAGCCCTGCCCTCTTTGGGCATGAAGGCAGCATTGCAGCGCGTATAAAGAAGGGCACTCTGACCTTCCTTGCTGTCCCGCACCCCCCTGGACACTGCTGTGAATAAGAAGGGGTGTTTACCTCCTAAGACTGTAGCGTTCCAAAATGGAAATTTAATGATATCTCTTTTTCTGATAAAATGTTTTAAGTCAACTGTTCATACGTTTATTGCTCACTTCTGCCCTGAGAAGCATCCACAGACTAAATGCTGTTGAATAACTACTGTTCTTTCTTGCTTTTTCCATGAAAGAATCACAGAAGGTAGTTTCAAAGAGAATTTGAATACCAGGGAGTGGAAAATGTGGTTTGCTGAACCACTGTTGCCAATTTAATTGTTGTGTTTGGATGTGGCTTACGAAGACAGGCAGCTGAGGAGGAGTTTGGAAGCTCTAACTTTTGATTAATTATGTCTGTATTTTAAACCAGTCAGCTTCATTAACCAAGATTAATGATGTTTTGCTGGGTATAGGTGATACAACAAGCTGTAGTTCATCCAAAGCAAAAGGGAAAGCATTTGCTTGCTACTGTACTCTTTGCTGTTGTACTGGAAGAGAAAAGGGGGTAAATATGCAAAGCCCAGGTGAGGCTTATTCATGTTGCACTAGACCTTAATTTAACATGCTGTCTGAATAGCTGCAAAATAACACCCAATAAGATTTTACAGTAGCTTCCATCACAGGAGTGATTATTGATGAATGCAAGTTACTGGATATTACATCACTACACAGTGTGATGAAGAGTATCACTTATATAATAGTAACCTCTGATGATCTGTCCTTCTAGATACAAAGAAGCTGTTTTGGCCTATGAAAATGCTAAACAGTGGGACAACGTTATCCGGTTGTATTTGGATCACCTGAACAATCCAGAAAAAGCTGTTACCATTGTGCGGGAAACACAGTCTCTTGAAGGTGCCAAGATGGTAGCCAGGTAACTGAGTGATAGATTGGAATTCTGTAATAATTTAATAGATCTATAAATGTAACCAAATTAAATTAATAATTTAATAGATCTATCATTATAACCAAATTAAATGGATCAATGTGTGAGCATATAAGTACAGATCCCTAAAATTAGTCTGACTTTCAAACATACTGTTTGGGGTATTCCTCTGTATTTTCAGTGAAAAAGATCAGGCCCATGTTTAAAATTTTTTTTAAAAAAACTTTCTTAAAAATTAGAGGTATATAAAAGAACCTCTAAATGAAAAATTGTGCATAATGAATGTTACTAAAAAATGTCAGCTGATCAAGGTAGACCCAGTCAGGAAGCAGATACCACAAGAATGCTGGAACTCTACTTCATAAATGTTGGCTGTAGGGACAGAATGTTGAAAGTCTGTGTTCTCCCTTCCCCACCTCTTATATCCAGGGAGTTAAAGTGGAGTCAGTTTGAGTTTCTTTCTAATGTTTTCTTTATCCCCTGTGCTTAAAATATGTTTTGGTAATTGTCATTACATAGCTTCTCTAAGGTCATCACTGTGGTTTTCCAGAAAAGGCCTGATAACGCTGATTTCCTAGCATCATTGCAGGGATAATTTTCAGGGTTAACTGAATTTCTCCAAGTGTGTATCTCCTTGTATGCTGTGGGGAGGGGGGGTGAGTGTCAAAAAAGTCAAGATGGTGGCTGTGACCCCATGGTGAAAGCCCTACCCCTTTTTACATCACGATGCCCTTCAAAAAGGAGCAGGGCTTTGATCGCACAGTCACAGCTACCATCTTGACTTTTTTGACATGTCCCTGCAGATGCCCCTGGGAGAGAACATTCAGCCCTATGGTCTGCGGAATATAGAGCCAGGATTATTTAGAACAACTAACACATTCACAACTGATACCAGCTTAGTTAGATTTTATCATCATTTTTCATGCTTGGCAACATGCTGCCATATTTGTGCACGGGATGCCTTTAGGGGAGGGCAGCCTAAATTCATGTTTAAGCAGGTAATTTTGAGAAATATACCTGGGATGATTGGACTATGTGTGATTGGTGTTTTTACAGGCTAAACAGCAATTAACCCATGAAACTCTGGCTGCCTCTGCTCCTAATGATTTTGTGAGTTATTCTCTCAGCATACCTTGGGAGCAAGATTATTCCATGGTTTTTTAAAATAGAGTGATAATCTACAAGTTATGTCTGTCTTAAATTATGGAGCATTGGACAACCTCTAGAGGTGTTACACTGATTTAATAATGATAATAAAGATGATAGGTTTAGAGAGATGAGAAAACTCTTCTATTGAGGTTACTTTTGTATTAAAATATCGTAGACTGCTTTTTTGAATTGTTACCTTGACTGCTTGGGAACATAAAGCCTTGGGATTCTGTTCACTTTTCTTTTAGAAAAATAAAGAAGCATTTGTTCTTCTTAGGTTCTTTCTGCAGCTGGGTGATTATGGGTCTGCCATCCAGTTTCTGGTGATGTCCAAATGTAACAACGAAGCTTTCTCCCTGGCTCAGCAGCACAATAAGATGGAGATCTATGCAGACATCATCAGTGAGTATCGCATCCTAGTATAATGGTCCACAGCGTGGGCTTCTGCAGGGGGGTAGCAAGAGGAACCAGTTGGAGTGCACGCACAAGGATGCCGTCGTTGCATAAGAGATTGAGAGCCAAGTATGTACCGACAACGTTTGTGTGATGATGTCATTTTGGCATCATTGCAGTCTGTTGCAGATGCTGCCCGTTCACAGTTCTTATTAGTAAATTAGCTTTTAACTTGACTGCAATGCATTATGGTTTTGCTGTTGCAAATTTACTGGATACGTTTTAAATGCAGGCAATTTTAATTATGTGTAACATTTTGTTAGGAAGTACAGTGCAACCTATGATGTTACAATCGAAATGATAAGCCTTGTGGTTCCTTCACATGTTTAAATTGCAAGAGAAAAACGTGCCGTGACATAGTTGTGAATCATTCTTTACTGTAATAATCATTGGAGATTACTGCTGACTCCCCTTCTTGCCTGCATTCCCAAACGTTTCTCACCGTCTCCAAAAGGACCAAGAGCGTATTTTCAGAGCAGAAGAGATGGAATTGGTGTGTGTAAGAGAATGCAAGTCTTGGTCTTTCTTCACAGAAAGAAAGTTAGAATCTACTTCCTCAAAAGGGAAATGTTCTTTTTGTTTCCTTCCTATTCCAGGTTCTGAGGAAACTACTAATGATGATTACCAAAGTATTGCCTTATATTTTGAGGGAGAAAAGAAACATTTTCAGGCTGGCAAATTCTTCCTTCTCTGTGGTCAATATGCCCGGGTTAGTACAACTTGAGTAAATCAGATTAAACACCGAGCTAGACAAGTCGTGGGAGTTCTGGAAGATGATCTCTCAACATCTCTTTCTGGGAATTGGGTGGGATTCTGTCTGAATCAGAGTGTCAAGTCCACAATGTCCAACTCCCCATTCTGAAGCATTCTCACGCAACCAGGCTTGGGTCAGATAAATACTTCTTTATTACGTGGTACGTGTAGCTTGTAAACAGAACATTGCTAAAACTAACGCCTTGGGTAAACCTCCCTCTATTTATCCCCCCTCCCCTTATTGCCTGGCATCGTGACTCCACTTCTCCTGTTGTAGACCTCGCCTACCTCCCCGAGCTGCTTCCTGGTTCTTTGGGCCCCAGCTGCCTGGCCGGCAATCAAGCCAGTCTAAATTGCCCATATATGGTTAAGCTGCTTCCCAGCTCCCATTACAACCATTAAC